CTCCGAACCCGTATAACTTGTATACGAGCCCGTTGTGCCAGACTTTATCGAAGGCCTTTGCCACGTCTAAGAAGAGTGCTCCGGTGTTGAGTCCGCGTTGGCGTTTGACTAGTATGTGCTCCGTGATGCGGTGCACTTGATGGGTACAAGAATGTTTGGCTCTAAAGCCAAACTGTTCAGGGATGGGGAGCCCTTTGGCGTCCATAAGGGATCTTAGTCGGGCTAATATTAGTCTTTCAAAGATCTTCCCAAATGTTTTGAGAAGACTTATTGGACGATAAGAGGTTGGGAGGGTCGCGGGTTTGTGGGGTTTGAGGAACCCTATTACGTCAGCTTCTTTCCACTCGGACGGGAAGAAGCCTTCGGTTATAGCCGCGTTGTAAATTAAGACTAGTATCTGAAGGATGCTAGTAGGGAGAAGTTTGGTCACCTTATTGGTGATACCATCTGAGCCAGGCGCTTTGCGTGGGCGCAGTTTGTTTATTGTTTCTGCAAGTTCCGAACACGTGACCGGGGGAACGGGATGGCGGAGTGGTTCCGATGCTTTCCTTTCGACCTCTTCGTTCACCTTACGGAGGTGATCGGGGTGGGTCCGAAGCAAGCTGGGGGAGCATTGGGCCTCTAGGCTGTCAGCTAGGCATTCGGCTTTCTCTTCGTCCAGCATTGCTGGCGTTCCTATCGGGCGAAACGGCGGACAATGTCACTTCCCGTCGCGTTTGTTTTTCAATCTCACAATTAGTGTAATTCGACACACATACTTTTAATTAGATTTCGAGGCGCGTTGGAATGTCGCAGCGGGTGTCGGCGGCTGATACGCGGCATATGGTGCAAATACTAAATCAATCGCGAACTGTACATGTTGTTCAAAACCATTGCAATATTCCACTAACTGTGTTACCGCAGCTTCGCCTGTATAATCAAATTTAAGTATATTCTGCAATGATTTTTGATAATTCAACCTTTTCTTATGATGGCTAAGTTAGTGCAGTTCTTAAGTATGATGGTTTCGGAACATGGGTACAATTCCCACACCAGAATATTTGTGCGACAAACAGATATTTGTTTAGGATGTGAGTGATTTTCATTGCATATTTATGTGTGTAATAAGCGTAATTAATTACATTATCTAATACAATGGATGGGGTAACAGCTAAAAGACCTTACTGGTGTAGTCTGCGTAAATATATGTATTAGTATTATGCCTGTCGTGGAGAGAGATAGGCAGAAAACTGCAACACTGACACCCAATGATGTTTCACTAAAGATGACGCATGTCCATACTGCGCAGCGTTTAAAAATTGTTCTGCTTAACATTATTAGATGACATATATAAGTGAATGTGACAGATGATATAGAACGTATGAAACCGAAAGAGATAGCAGTCTATAGAATCGCAATGTAATTAAACCAATTGGGGTAATTTGTGTGCCTCAATTTCGATGCGCTAGTGTCATATCAACCTGGTGTTTGTTTAAATATCGTTGCTCACACCCATTTAGCTTAGTGTAGTTATCTTCCAAGTTATTTCGCGCTTATTTCCAAGAATACTCCCCCCATTATGGGAAGCTCGGCATCGAAGCGAGCTTCGAGACCCTTCGCTTTTTATTGGCAGTTTTTGCGCCAGCGCCGTCCTGAGTCCCCCGCTAACGAGGTCCCCGAGGGAGTTTTAGGTAAGAGCTGGCTAGTCTCGGAGACCTCTATAGTTGGTGCCAAACAAAACATCTGCTTCGTCATTTCCTGACTTTTAGAAGGACAGATTCCATCTTCATAAAGTATGCTTTACAGTAAAGCAGAAATAATTTCACGCAATAATCCATCCATAAGAATTATTCGTGGAAAGACATTTGAGATAATATTATTTCTGAAATGTAGGATATTAATTTTATAATTAGTGTATTCTATGTAAGGATCGTTTTATATGAAATAAGACGGCAAACCAGATCCACCCGAGAAAAGGCCAACACTCAAAGGATAATACTGTATACCTCTTGCACTGAACGAAATAATTAAATTTTTAATACTTTTTTCGCCGATCAACAGAGGCCTTAATACTTTTCCGTAAAAGTTAGCGAACTAAATATTAAACCAATCAATGTGCTTTGTTAACTAAGTGATGTGAGATATTTAAATCACCTTTTTTATATATAGTATAGTGCATAGGTTATTACCTCTTATGATAAAATCAATGTATAATGATCAATATATGATCAGGTAGTCTATCCGGTCATTGAGGAAATTAAAGTAGTTCGATCTTGTTAACTTCACCTGAGAGGTCTCAACGTCGTATCTGAAACAATTTTATGCCAGTTCTTCGGAGTCTAAGTGAGTAAATGAGTGACTAATGGTGGATTTACACACGAACAACGACTTTGAAGATAATCTCAAATAAATTCAATGTGTCGCTCTTCCCGGGCACATCACTAATGTGATAATTGAGTTCGAATTGGGGAGAATCGGTGCACGTGGCACCGGCGCTGAGTCATTGTGCTCGGGAAAAATTGCTAGAGTTCCACCGCTTAAGTGGTTGGCTTGTTTTTTATCGCACGCTCTCTAAACACAAATCTCCGGGAGGGATCTTTTGGAGTTGTGTACTGTGTTTTAGTGTTATTCAATACGGAACTAAAAACGGTTAGTTCGTGCAATTAGTGTGCATGAAAACTGTATTTAATTATTAAAACTATATTTTATTTTCATTTTTATTGCGAATCTATACACATAAATGTTACGGGATACTGAAATAAATGTTCAATAATTTATAAAAATAACTAAAGTTAAAAGCTTTCATTAATAAATAATAATTTAGACACACGAAAACAATAAACATTGCATATGTAGTGCTTTCCTACTACAGTCAACGTCAATTATTATGACATATCTGTCCCGAAAAAGAAATGAAAACCTAATAATAGCAGAAATATTTATTGAATCAACTGATGACAGTTCTGCGAACGCTTCACAATGTTCAATAATTCTGGATTCGTCAATTTATAACGATTATTTTCACAACTAAACTGTTGAAAAGCTATCCAGCATACCCGCTTCAAACGGGTAAAAAGAACTTCATTGAAATGTTTATTCAACAATATAAATGAAAAATAGATGTTGAAGAATATTTCACTCCTTAAAGAAAGCAATAAATATTCGTAATTGCGCTCAAAGTGTGAATCAATTAGTGTATTTGAACAAGAACGTCTAAGAATAAACTACGGTTTCCAAAGAGCGTTAAAAAATAAACACTTAAAGCAAACGACACGAGTGCGACACGACACGAGACCGGGGTTCGAGTTCTGGGTAATAGGTATAATTTTAGACACCATCTGTTCGAATTAGTATTGTAAGAGTTTCCAGTTTTGCATCTGAAGAATGTGCTGAGAAGATACTGTGTATTTTTTGTGCACTTTCTTAACGGCATATTTTATTAAGTATTTGTTATAAGCTACTTAAAATATAAAAAAGTTACAGTGCATTGTCCCGTGTTTGTTTTTCTCATATTTAAGAACACTTTTAAACTATATCTCCTTTTATTTATTTAACCCGAACAAACCGACAAAATATATTTTAAAACGAATCCAAATTATTCCAAAATGTTATTATACGTATAGCAATGACAGAGGAGAGCTATTAACACCGTTATGGCCCGTGTGCATTGAGAAAATGAATATACATTCAGAAGTATTGAAAGAGCCTAAGGCCTAATCGACCATTGGGTCGATTGCAATTTAGGCTGATGTCACGGAGCAGCAGGTGACGTATCGTGCGCTGTAAAAGCGGCTCAATTTTAATTAGTGCCGCCATATGTGTCGGATCACGTCACGTCGCGGGGGACGCCCTAGCCACCCCTCGCCCCGCCACCCGCACCCCACTCCCCAGCATGCCACCTTGGTGATAGTATAATTATCTCGCTTTAGGTCTTACAAATAGCGCGCGCAAGCAACGAGCGACGGCGTTTTATACAGCTCAATCAGTCATGTAATTTTGGATATTTTTAAGGAATAAATATTGAGTACCTTCATGCTGGTCTTTTTTTTTTAAATAAAACATTGAAGGAATCAAAATAATATGTCTTACCGACGTGGGTTATATACCCACGTCGATATGACATATTATTGCACGTGGTTTTAATATGGGTACGGAAGGCAACAACACAGTGCCTTTACTGTTCTTTCTGATAAAATAGATTACGAAAGACTATCGTTTATTATTCTACAACGTAACTGTGTATAGATAATTAAGATAGAACAAACCATTCTTAACACTGAATACAGTATCATTGAAATATTCATATTCGTGTTAGGTTAAAATTAACTTAACCGCTGCATCTCGTCGCTTGGGACACTCGCGAAACGAAGAATAACAGACGACGTGTGGGTTACGGCGAAAGCGTTTAATTCCGTCGGCGATTTCGTGGAACAGCCGGCAGCCTCGTGAGGTGATGACCCATTAAGTAATTAGTGTTTTTGAACGGCTCTAAACGTCTTAATAACGTCTGTGGGGACGCTTTGGGGGCAGTGACGGCGAGTGTTGCGCTGAGTGATGGGAAAAATTGACTCGTTTCATCCGGACCTACTTTATGTCCGGTGTATCTATGCGTATCTACGCGTCCTTTCGTATATTCGTGACTCGATGAAGCATCTGCTAATCTGTTGTTATTAACCGTGGTAGGGCCACGTGCAAGACAGCAAACCAGGTCCAACCGGAGAAGTTCCGCTATCTCACAGAAGAATGATGTGAAGTGGGAGTGCTATATTTCTGCGTCTCCTCTGGTGAGTAAGGTAACCGGGGCCCACTTTACGACAATGTGGCAACACATCTATAACCCGACGGGCGTCAGTTGTCCGTGGGCGGCGGTTATCACTTAACATCAGGTGAATCACCAGCTTGCTTACCACCTAAAGACCCTACCTAGGGCGGAGGAGGGCAGGAAGTGATGATGATGTTTTTAAGAGAACGTTATTTAGACTGCACGTTTGCCAAAGCGATTCAGGTCCCATTGGCGGCTAGCATTGCGTTAGGTTGCAATCCTGAGGCGGAAAAGGTTTGTATGATCCGCTAACAGTTCCAGACGTGGATGGATTTTATTATGTGAAAATTACACAAGCGAGCCGGCTGTTCACCTGATGTTAAGTGATGTGGAAGGTTTACCTCACTCACTAGATGGAACTCAGAATTATGACGAGATGTAATATGTGAGTGTTGTGGCAGCCCTCGTGACGCAAAGGGTTACTTCATCATCAGCGTGGTTCCTTTTACGCATTACGGGTATTTTATTTTAGATATTTTTGGAAAACTTACAGCTAGAACAGTCATTGTATGATCAAATTTAATAAAATTAAGGCCAATTTAAAGTTTTCACAATAAGAAAAACATTTATTTATATGTGTATCAGACCTTATCCAATGTGAAGATTTTAACAGTTAAACTTTGACATTTAAAAGATTAATATGATAATACATTTCCTAATTGCGGAAAACAAAATGAGTGATGAGTAATTTGTGTGTGTAAGATAACTAATGCGTTTAATAAAATATGCAAATGAATAATGACATTGACGTCGATCAGAAAGAAGAATATCGATTTTTATAAGAAATATACTGCATAATTCTTAATTTATATTTACATAATATAAATTAATTATAATTTACATAATATAAGATCAATATCAGTAGTGTTTATGAATGATATTAGTTCTTAATATCATGTAATTTTTGTAAAAGTTGCTTTAATTGGTTGATAAATTCTAATACATACTTACGTTTGATACGGAAAGATTCTACAGAAACGCAATCTAATAAGTATACCAATTGATGTAATTTGAGTCCCTCTGTTTCGGTACGCTAGGGTCGCATCTACCTCGCATTAGTATATAATCATTGATAACATCTACTACATTTTATTGTAGCACTGTTTCAGTTTCTAGATGACACGGCGTTGATATTATTTAGATTCTCCGATCAATATTTTAGCAATTATCTGAATGATCATTAAAGATAAACCATCACCGCATAATATTAAAATGTTTGCAACATAATCGCTTACATCATACTTAACCGAATACATTACGAAATTAGTTTTAACTCGCTTAGCGTTTTAAAACTAAGCGTTTGGTTTGACTTTCTACTTAGTTTTACGTCTTCCTCAGTAAACGATACAAAAGTTATCTTAATTGAGCCGCATAAACAATAATTGAAGAATCACTGTTAAATTTATTGTGTCGCTGAAACTCACTTTGTGTCGAAGAATTTTAAAGACGACATTAAGGGCTTAATTTAACGGATAACATACCTGGGTCTCAGTGACGTTTAGCAGTTTCGCCATGTCCGCCCTCTCGCCGGACGAAAGGTATTTCTTCACCTCGAAGAGTTTCTCCAGCTCGAAGATCTGCCGACCGGTGAAGGTGGTCCTCGCCTTCTTCCGCCTGCCAGCAGCCGACTCCTCCCCTTCCTCGCTGGTCAAGGAACCCTCCCCTCCTAACGGTGATCTGACGTCTTCTGTGGATTTCTTCCTCTTGACCAGCTTGGAGGCGTCTGCAAGGATTATATATCTTATAGATTTGAATTTTTTAAATATGATAATACTTAGGTTGGCTTAGTGGATAATGAACCTGTCTCATCCTCCAGAGGTTGAGTCGATCCCCACTACTAGAAAAATTGTGAACGTGTGTAAACAACATAGTGCTTTTCCTGTGTCTTGGTATTCAAACATCCATCATATGTATTTATTGACAAAAGAAAAGTATGTTTAGGTACGTTTATTAGTTATCAAGTAAATATAGTACAGTACATTGTTTAGTTTGGGATTAATTATTTATTTATTAATTACTGAATATTTAAGTAAAAACTGTTCAATAGGTTTTTCGTTACCAATTTTATTGTTATGTTTCTATCTTCTTAAGACTTAGGTAAATAGAAAGTTCACTCCCTGAGATTAGCAACTTCATGCGAACATTTCCACGCCATCGACATCCATACTCTTGTATACTTTAACTTTTGCAAAATGTTTCTTAATTTTCATCTCGGCAATGCGAATATATAAACAAATACGCAAAGATATTCTATGCAATGTACACAAACACATTATCGTAATATCTCTACTGCGTAGTCAATATTGAACTAATTAAATTACTTATATTTAAGATTATGCAATCTTTGCCGTTCATAAGAAAATTACTCTACGGAAGTTAATTGAAAGAACAAAAAATAGAGAGGTAAAGAACGAGAGATCATTACATCGTAATTACGAGAGGATTCCCGCGGTGAAAAATGCCTGGGGGAATGGTATACCTGCAATGTAATAATGATTCATAAAAAAATTATAAAGTTTCTTGCCCGACGTTGTATTTTCTTACATTGGTCATTAAAATCTAATACTGTTCGATGCAATTACGAAGTATTCTGACCCTTAAAATTATCAGTAAAACTCTTAAACTAAACTGGGTAGATTTAAATATATATTAACGGCAATATCCAGAAAGCGAAAAATTTTTTTAGTATTTATGTACTTAAAAACATATGAAAGTAATGCTAAAAGAATCTGCAATTATACGTATGAAATGGTTCAATTTATCAATGAATATCAATATATTGTTTTGTTATATACCCATATACGTTCGCATTCAATCATCAAAATCGGTTCAGTCGTTTAGTAGATGAGAGGTAACACATATAGGACGAACATACATACATACATATAAAACTAAAACATAACCTTACTTATTTGCCTTCGCCGCGTTCGGGTAAAACTCTCATAGGATTTTAGCGGAATGGATGGCCGGCGATTATTATGTAATGGTAAGCTCCTGTTGCTAAATAGTTCAGCTACTAAACTAGGGAGGGGCCGCGGCTAATTAAAAGACCGACGTTGAAATGAAAGCTCTTTGGCGCTAAGGCCGTTAAATGAGGTAGCCAGAGGCCCACACTCCCAGTGGCTGGCAACGCGCCTCCAAGACATTCGGTTTTGTGTATATTCGTGGTGGTCATCAACCTACTCCCCTCGCCATCAGTTAAACCGTACGTTCAGGCGCCATCTTTTAAAATAAAAAACATAAGAAATTACTCCGTGGTGCAGTTGCCAACGTTTGCATTCGACGCCGTGGTCGTGGGCTCGATTACAGCACGGGGTAAATATATGTGCGGCCCATAATCGGATAATCGCTTCTGTTCTAGCTGTTCACCCACATGAAATTTATGTTTGCAAAACGCACTTACTACACAAGATAAAGCCATCCTACAGTGAGGACAATGTTAAAAAAATCAAAAAATCAAAATCATTTATTCATCGACATAAGAAACTTACATTTCATTTGTCAATAGTCATATTTTTTTTTTAAATCTACCACCGTTTTGTAATGAGGTTCCTCTAGCGGAGAACAAACAGGCGAAAGAAACTCCGTAGGTATCCTCTTTTTTGTAATTCATTTTTTTTTTCTTAACGAAAAATTCAAATATTATACAACTGATTTTTCCTTTTAGAAATAGCTTGGGAGCGATCAACTCATTCCCAGGGGTTATTGTCATTAATGTATTCATTTGTATTATAATAACCCTTTTTATAAAGTTTTTCTTTAATAAATTTCTTAAACCTGTTAATAGGCAGGTTTTGCGCATTTACTGGGATTTTGTTGTAAAAGCGTATACACCGCCCCATGAACGAGTTACTTACTCTATGGAGTCTAGTAACTGGCATTACAAGCTTGTGTTTGTTCCTAGTGTTCGCATTATGTATATCAGTATTCTTATCAAAATTATTAATATTTCTACGCACATACATAACATTTTCATATATATATATATTGAGAGGCTAAGGTTAATATATTTATTTCTTTAAACTTCTCTCTCAAAGATGCATTCAAATCTAGATTATAAATAGTTCTTATGGCCCTTTTTGCGCAAAATAAAAATTGTTTCTATATCGGCCGCGTGCCCCCATAGCAAAATACCATATGACATTATGCTATGGAAGTAACTAAAATACACAATTCTAGCCGTTTTTACATCAGTTAGACATCTTATTTTCCTTATAGCATTCGCTGCAGAACTTAGTCTATTCGCAAGTTTGGATATATGGGGACCCCATTGAAGCTTTGCATCGAGAGTTATTCCAAGAAAGACAGTCGTATCCACAAGGCCTAACTCCCCCCCATTTATTAATTTCTCAAATACTTCAGCTACCTCCTGATTAGTCGTTATAAATTTATTATCAATGTTGAGTTGGTAGTCAGACCTACGTGATTTGGTTTTTCCTGTTTCACTATTTATAATGTTCCAAGTCATTTTTACTTTATTAGAGGCATTTTTAATTTTATTTCTCAAATGTAATGACTTGGCGGCAAGACACACTTTTTAAATATTTTTGAGTAATTTTTAACATAATCTTTAAATGTCTCAGAATGGTTGTATGACCTTTCACTGTAAAGTTCATACAATCTTCGTCTACTGCGGTGAATTCTTGCTGTTGCCCATTCATTAAAAGTCTTGCGACTGTACAAAGAGAATGTTTTAGAAGTAAAAACTGCATTGTATTCGATTTGTATAATATAAAAAATATATGTAAAAAATGAACTATACAAGGGGTTAGCATTGTCATAGTAGGGCAGCATAGGTAGTTTTTTTATTAAATTACTTCTAAACTTCTCCTTGCGATATTTATTTATCGGAACAAACACAGCTTTCCTAGTATCTTGGATTTTACAGTGGAGAGGCAATGTGACAAACTGCCCTGAATGGTCAGAACTTAATTTATGTATTATTAGTCTGTGCAATGGTTTGACATCTGTAAAAATGTTATCTATACATGTTGCACTTGACTCTGTTATTCTTGTAGGCTCAAAAACAAGTTGAAGAGATTAAATGATTTTAACAATGAGCAGAATCTTATCCTCATGGAAGAATAATATTAAAGTCCTCAAGAAAGCTTCTAGGAGATTAATATTAAAGTCTCCGCATATGACGACAGATTTATTCTGTTTATGAAGTTTATGTAAAACTTCCTCGATGATTTTTTCAAAACGTTCATACAAGGCACAGGGCGGTCTGTAAACACTAACAACAATGAGATGCTCAAGCTCAACACAAGCCATTTCTATAGTTCTCTCAACAGAGAGGCTCACAATATCCTTACGCTCTTTATATGACAAATATCTATTTAATAATATTAAAGAGCCACCACGTAACACTTTTTCTCTATTGAAAGAACTAACAACCTGGTGTCTACTGAAGTTAAACATAAAGGTATTATTTTTTAACCAATGTTCAGTAATACATAAAATATCAACATCATTGCTATTTAAAAACAAGTTAATTTCTAAATCTTTACCTTGAAAACCTTGAATATTTTGATGCACCAGGTTTAAACAATTTTTATTACATAACATTTTCTGTGAAATAGAATAATTTTTTTTATAATTCATTACATAAATGTCATTGCAAGAGATTTCCTCTTTTGTCTCAATAATTAATTTAAATTATTTGGAACGGATTCCAAATTACATATTAAACTATTAAGCTGCTCAATAGGAGCAGATGATGGTGTAGCCAAACGCTTGGCCAAATTAAAATGTAAAAAATAAGATAGCGCATTTGCTATCAGTCTTAAATTAAATTTTGATAGGAAATACCTATCTTTTGTTAGATATTTTTTAATTATGGTATTAATGTCAATTATATTTAATTTGTCAGTATCATTATTTTGACATGTCAAATTCACTGAATTATTACAGAATAAATTGCTTAACTGCAAATTAATGTCAAATCTTATTTTGTTTTCATGTGGCATATCCCTTAAATAAGGCAATGTAAACAAGACAATTTTATGAACATTTAGATTATTTACATTTTCCAAGTATTTTAACAACTGTCCTTTGTTAACATTGCCCCTTGTCCCTATCAACAACACTAATATGGTGTTGGGACAGAAAGTACTACATAAGACCTTTTGAATTATGTCATTAAATGATGCTCCTGGCATGCAATAATTTGTAATTTGGCCCTTAAAAGTTTCATTAATTAAAAAAGTACTCGAACGTGGCAGTCGATTCAACGATCACACAAAACCGAAACGGAATATTTGGCTGCAAAACAGAACATAGTGGGAAACAACGCCTCATCCCGTACTCGAGTCTATTAGTTTGTTCAAGCTATCAGTCTGCAGTGGGCATTGCCGATTCGCGACAGCACCGGGGGTTGCAGTTTACAGGCAGGTTTCTGAAACACTAACCAGCTGTCAAATGGAATTTCAAATGTTATTTAAGTTGCCAAAAGGATTGTTGGACTCGCTGAAATTATCAAAATGATCAGAAAGATTCTTAATAATTTTTGAAACCCGGTTTTTGAAACTTTTAAGTGTTACAAAAACCGGGCGTCATACTCGCAGTTTCAAGTGATGACATAAAGGTTGGTGTTCACCAAGGTTCGCCTTTGAACTATTTACTACTTAGATAATAAGGCTTAATTATCAACTAAGTCTTAACTATCGACCCGCCCCGGCTTCGCACGGGTAGCACTATTTATCAAAATTACTACACTGTTTTTACACGTACATTGTTTTTATTTCTTTCTATCTATACGAAAATCCAACCGTTATGGTGATAATTATTAACATTGTTTTGGAGATATTAATGGAAGTAGACATCGACACTCGAGGTTGTAGATGTAGTTGCCATGTAAACAGATCAGAAGGTTGGTGTTTACCGCCCGGTTTGTACATCAGCAATATTAATCAGTTATCTAGTACCCATAGCACAAGCTGCTTAGTTTGGCACTAGAGAACGTTGTGTAAAAATGTGTCCTAAAATATTTATTAAAAAAAATGGAATTGAAGGAGGGTTACTAAACTTGTAAGATGTTAATACCTCCAGTTATCTCACTCACTCGCCGGAAATTAGCCATTCAAACAGCATTATAATGATATAATACCAATCTACATTGACTCATGTTTGAACTCGACGGTGTGCGACATTTGACGCCTGAATAAAAGCAAACTTTTTACTTGCTTTAATGTCTCTACCGCATAGCTCTGTGCGCCTGTTGCAGTGAATAATTAGCGCTAACTGCAACCGCTAACAATACGGTGTCGTTACGTGAGAAGAGACCGATGCTTGTAATGTGTGCATTTTTATGCCCGCCTAAGGTTGGGGGCACGCTGGCTACACGCTCCGCCTATGTAGTTTTCTTAATCCTACCCCGCTCGATAAGTTAATAAAGCAATGTGTCATTTATCAGTAAAGCATTACGATTTTCGGTTTACATTATGATTTTTCCCGAGAATATAAGCTGAATATAATATTTATTTTACAATCTCCAGCGAAACTGTCATGATCTTCAACACAAGCTAGTTTAGACCACAAATTTACATTACAAGTGATTATGTTTAGAGCCACCAATGCTATAAATGTATTACTTACGCCTAATAATTTAGGGATGTTTATGTGACCATAAAGAAATATTGGAAAATTTTGAAACATATTGCTTTCAATTATCATTGAAAGGTTAATTTTAAATATAATGTTTGACACTAATGTATCTGATACTTAAGTTAAAGGGGCTTTAAACGTTAATTGTATTGCCTTTGCTTTCTTAACTTATCAAATTACAAATGCTACTCAGTCCATTTCCTTTCACTTTGAGGCGATACACAATTTTTTGCTGTCTGCCTTTATATTTATAAAGCACGCCCATGTCCTCATTTCTTGACTTTCCCCTTCTTATTCGACTCCGATGATTTAGCTATAAGATTGTTTAACACTGACGGTACGCCTATAGAATTCACGGAGCCAACTGTGGATTTTAGCATGGCATATACCCATGATACCTACTGCTGCAGTCGACGCAGGCGGCCGCTCCCCGCCCCGCTTGCCACTCAAGCCGCGCCTCACAACAACAATGGCCCGCTGAGGCGACGATTTAAGTGTTACACGCCGCAGCAGATATTAATTACAATGCGAGCGTACGTGCCGCCGTACTCGGAATCGCGTTCGCGGATTGCAGATCCCCGATCGCTCAGACACTAGCTTTCGCACGCAACTCCGCGCGTCATGTGTTATGTCGTCTTTGTAACGTTGAAATTCAATTCAATTCAATACAATGATTAATTTGCCATACAACAGATATAGCATCGTCAGTCAGATAAACTTCGTCCACATATAATTGTGTTTATTCACATTTGCATTTTGCACAAGTATTTAGCACTTTTTCTTCAATTGTTTGCAACTGTTTTTTCATTACACTCTCACTTTCGAGAACACTGGCACTTTTAATTGACGCTAGGACTCAAATTTATATATATCATATGTTGTTTAAACTTATAATATTTCGGAGCACAATATTACATGTCTGAAGTTAGAATGAACATATGGAGTTTAGCTATTTTTTTTATTATAAATAAATTTTTATAAGCAAAGTACTTGTGCAATTCAGGTATTTAGGGACGTTTATGAGAGCATAAAAAAATATTTTTTATTGAAAAATTTTATTTTGTTTACCAAATTACTGAATGTTACAAACTTTCTGATATTTTTTCAGATAATTTGATGAAAGAATAAACACATTGCTTTCAATTATCATTGAAAGGTTTATTTATCTCATATTTTAAATAATACATTCGATATTGAGTCCTTAATTAAAATTAATGTCAAGTGATAACAATGCTAAATTACACATAACTTTATAGATAACGTCTATTTGTATTTTGTTTCCATTAACACCGTATAGAATTAACGTATTTAAGTGAAATTTCTGAAGTGTGTCTTAATGTATGCTTGTCAGTAGATAATGTTTAATATTTAATAACGGGTATTTCATTGTGCACTATATAATGGATCAATAACGTTTCCACATTTATAGATATTAAGTATTTTTAACTCGAAAGAGCAAAAGTTATGTCTATCTTGTCTTGATAATAATTTCTGTACATTTATCAACGAATATCAGAATCAACCTCCTCATTGCATAGACTTTAAAGTCAGAAGAAAACGCTACGGAAATAAGCTGTAACATTTCTTTGCCGTGCTTTTTAAATGACCGAGCAAGTCATTACCATCTTTTACGAGCCACAAAATTGAGCTCAGGACCTGTGGTAGATTTGTGGCACGGCCGTGCAGCTGTCATCGCTGTTGCATGAATCGGCATTGCATCGTTCGGGGAAGTATGAAAACCTCACACAAGACCGACTTGAACTGGATGTTTTATACTTCTTCGTCTCGTCTGACGTATGAGGTAGCCGGGGCCCATTTTATTGAAAGGTGGCAACGCATTTGTAACACCATGGTGTTGTAAATGTCCATGGGCGGCGGTTATCACTTAACATCAATTGGACCTCTTCTTACATTAAATAACATTAACGTTAACAGTGATGAGATTTAAAAGCAACAAGGATAGAAAACCATTGCATCGTTCACTCCGTGGCGCAGTTGCCAAGGTTTTGGCTTCGGCGTCGAGGGTCGTGGGCTCGATCCCCACGCGCAACAACTATTTGTGTGACCCACAGACTGTTTCTCATCTGACACACTGGACAAAGGCCTCCTCTATAAAGAGGGTATCAGGGCATAGTCCACCACGCGGCCCCACTGCGGATTGGTGGACTTCACATATTTTCGAAATATATATATTTTTTGGTATTATTTCGAATATATGCAGGTTTCCTCACGATGTTTTCCTTCACCGCGGAGCACGTGATAAGTCAGCACTTAAAGTTTAAACTTCATTGGTGCCGGCACCGGGGATCGAACTCAGGTTGCTCGAGTATATTGAATTAAAGGCGACCGCCCGGACACTGAGCTATCACGGCTCACTGAGGTCTTTCTGAAATTTATGTTTGTAAAACGTCCTGACAACACAGGCTAATGTTATCCTAAAGTAAGGGCATTGCTGTTAACAAAGAAATATTATTCGACGGTAGTGGAACGTCGAGTGACTGTTGCGCAAACGGTGACCAGCGCCCGCGAAACGCCTCGAGCGCTGGCGAGCGTTTCGCGTCGGCCGCGCAAACAACACCAGGATGAATAAATTAGCCGCCCCATGGCGGGAAAATCGGTGCCGGGATACGGGACAGGTGGCCGGTTCCGCCATTAAGCCGCGCGGCAGAACGCGCTGTTTATTTTTCTAACGAGCGTTTTTAGATTAGGCTGTGGTGTTTTTTATAAAGGACCGGCCAGTGGTTGGCTGGTGGTAAGTCGTAAACGGTTAATATGCACGAGCACATTCAATATAGCTTTGGAGGTTGTGCTTTTCGTAAAATGTAATTTTTACTAAGACTACTATAGGACCCTAGTACTAAGACTTCGCTGCCTGCCTGTCTGTCTGTCACCAGGCTATCTCATGAACCATGATAGCTAGACTGTTGCCGCTATATCATGAACATGAAACAGAATAAAAAAATATTTTAGAGGGGCTATCGTTTAACAGACATAATTTTTTTGCCTTTTTTATAGATAAATGGTACGGAACCCTTCGGCGCGAGTCCGACTTGCATTTGGCCGATTTATTTTTTGTTGATTAATTATCGAAGCGTTTTCTTCACTGTGGGGTTCGTGCATGTATCTTCCAGATAATTGCATCCCACCAACTGAACTAAGCCGCCGATTGTGATAGACATTTCCGCGACGTGGGGATAAATTTGTCGACAAAAAAAATGTAAGTTCATAATGATAGCTATTAGTTTTCGCAACAGAAATGGAACTACAGCAGCAGAGCACTTCAAAAGTTACATATTTGTAACCATTCAAACTGAAACCTCACCCGTCATAAAACCTTTTATCTTTTACGCAGTCCGTCTTTTCGGGAATCAAATAAAACTCGACAAACTAAGCGCGACAAATTAAAAAAAAATCGCCCACCTAAACATTTCGGGTGTCGTCCATCAACTGCCCGCATAATAAAGAATACGCGAACAGGCAAACAACCGGCCCTTCATAACGACGCCCTTAATGTGGGAAAGAATTCAAACAAACGCAACGAAATATAGTCCCGTCCTCACACAATCGAGCCCATAATTCTGAAACGCACTGTAATTAATCGCATCTATCCAAACATCATCCGCGCAACTCAGCGTTAGAACAACTGCCACCCGAAAGCGCCAGCACGATTTCGGCGAACGATGGGACGGTTTTTCTCCAAATGAAAAATAGGCCGTCACGGGACGCCCGGTAGAGCAGAAGCATTCGAGTTAATATAAGAACTTATAATTAATAATAATATTACTGATTAATTTTTTTAATTAAGTACTTTAAACTCAATAAATTTCGATCTCAATAAAGAAAATACTAGCAGTAACTTGTTAAGTGTACCATTGTCCGATAAAAATAGTACTTAACTTATACAAAGAAGCCACGAATCGTGTAGTATATGCAAGCACAAACACACAAGGGAGTCTTGGAGAGCTTGGAGAGTACATGATGGCATCAGTTTATCTGGTTTACCGTGACAGCAAACCAGCCGATTTTACTGCCATGCACCAATAAGTGTTTCATTTTGATATGATAGTTAATTTTGTTTCACTCGACTTACACTTAAGTTTATTAATAATTACATTTCTGGAATAAGCATGTAGCTAAAAGAAAATGTAATCACACAAAGCACTTTACCATGTTAGCTTCATGAAAACGTTGGCTCAATAGACTACATATTTTTTGACAACGATTAGCAAGCAACGATATTAAGGATAAATATTCAAGCAACGTAATGAAAATATAGGACGAACGATGACACACAGTTTTGAGTAAAAAATCAATGAGGCAATGATCACCACCTTTTCCTAACTGTCCCGGACCCTGCGCTGGGACGTGGCCACCCTACCGACGTCCCGCGCGCCCATAAAGGCGGCCGCAAACGCGTGTCGGGCCGCGTGAATTACGCGAGCGGCATCAAAGCGCTACTTTAGTGGGCCCGACGCGATTTACCGCCCTATTAACGTATCACCGGCGAAAAGAAAACATTGGGTAATAACGTTCCGATTGAGCGTACAGCGTCGTTAAGTGCAATCGCCTCGTGATTTAAGACATCGCCCCTGAGTCCATGATCTCTTCTATGGAGGCGACAGAGGAATTTCAGGCATCTGAAGTCTTACAGAAATTGATAGCCTCCCTTCAAACTCAGTGGCGGATTAAGCAAGCGCGGGGCCTGTAGCAAATTCTTTTAAACAGCCCTTCTGCAATGGGTTTTTAAGTATAAAGTGGTAAAAAAACAATTCAATGCTCTTACTTACTTAATACCTTTCCCGCGAGACCCGTAGCAATTGTTACTACGTGGTTAATCCGGCATAGTTCAAACTAGCTCAACTGACCCAAATTGTCAGCCCAAGATAGTTTAAAAGGATTTAATATAATGTAATACGGTCAAATATCCTCGAAATAACAATTTATGATGTTAGAGCTTCGGTAATTATGAGTTAACCGTCTTTGCTATAGAGATTAGCTCTCCCAAAAATTCATTATTGTTCCATTGAAAGTTTTCGGGTTTTCGGGTTTTCGGGGTCAGTCGTCGCACGACAGACACTTTTTTATATATATATAGTATAAATGACAATTATTCATATAATTACCATTCTCTAACAATTTATTTACACTTTTTTATTAATAGTCATTTAAAAATGTTAAACGGTATTTCATAGGACTAAAAATTTAAAAATGTAAATGTGCATTTGTTTCACAAATTACAACACATTAAGCACATAACAATGACCGAAAGGTTTTCTTTTCTCTAATCTGATGACAGTACTTTAAAATACTCTCCGTAATACGTGGGAGAAAACAGATGTTTTTTTGTGTACACGTTTTGCCTGGGGTCGCAAATACCGATTCAGCTGATTCTAATAAATAATTCGCAAGCAACTAATAGCGACGGAAAAATATTCGAATATAACATTTTCTTCTTACGCTCGTAAATAACACTGTCACAAATAACTTTACGATGATTAATTACATGAGGCATGAAACGTGAGACCACGTGGCCAATTTTGATTTGATATGAAATTCGTATGAAAGCCGTTTATCACTGCCTTATAGGGTGATAA